CCAATTACACACCTAACTTCCATCTAAACTGCCACAATAGCATTCACAGCATTTGGATCCAAGAAGTAACCCCTTGGCATGCTAAAGACAATTACAACCAACAGCTGTAGATGAGTAAGTGGTTAGTTATCAATTTCTGAAAAACTAGGTATTTTTCCATGCCTCTATCTGCAAAGGTATTCACAGAATCAAAATCTTGGGAATGGCAGAGAGCTTAAAAGAAAACACCTAGTACAATCCTAGTACTAAGTCTGTATCTTCCATAAAAGGCTGCGTAGTGAAAACAGCATGGACTTCTTGAGGTCAGACATCACAGGTCCCGGTTCACTTCTGGACTTTACCACCTATCAGCACTACAACCTGGGCAAATTATCCTAATCTGAGTCTCAACTACAGAAATGGAAATTATACCAATTAGACCACCACCTCACAGGACCACTGTGAAGATAAAGTAACACAATCTATATTGTTCCTATCATACAGGAAATTTTATTTCCAAAGTCTCCTTTTAGCAATAATATTGGTCAAATAGGGGACTTGATTTATAGCCCTAGAAAGTCATACTGTGAAGGCCACCTCCCTTCTCACCCAAACAAAACTACAAAAATACTTGAATTACCTCTACAACACCCTGGAAAAAAAGTCCCAATCTTCAAAATATGCATATCCCTAGAGGTACAGAAAGATATGCAAGCAAGGGAATCAATTTCCACACTACTTTTCATAAACTTGATCTGCCTAGATAACTGAATTATCAGTAAAAGATTTCCTACCATAAAATGTATTACTTAGGACAGGGGTTAGAAAACTACATCCCATGGGCCAAATCTGGCTCACTACCAATAAAGTTTTATGGGAACACAATCATGTTCAGCTGTTTGCCTATTATCTGTGGCTGTTTTTGCAATACAATAAAAAAGTTGAGTAGCTTTGAAAGAGACTACGTGGCTCACAAAGTTTACCATCTGGCTCTTTACAAAAGAAAGTTTGCTGACTCCTCCTTTAGGAAAAAATCTGTGTAAAAATGGGTGGATACAAGTTCAAAAAGAAAAAGGAAAAATATGAAATGGACCAATTCCCAGAATGATACAAATGACCAAAGATGACTCGAGAAGTAATAGAAAATGTGGCTAGACCTAAATCAAGTAAAGAAATTGAATTAGTAATTGAAAATCTTCCCATAAAGAAATGTCCAGGTCTAGGAGGCTTCAGTGGTAAATTCTAGCAGACATATACAAAAAATATAATTAACAATCCTACACAAACTCTTCCAGAAAATATAAAAGGAAAGAACATTTCCCAATTCATTTATTAGGGTAGTACAGTTTACCCTGAATAATGCAGAAGTTAGGGGCAATCTAAAATCCCTGTATAGCTTTTGGCTCCCAAAAAAACTTAACGCTGTCCCTTGGTATCCACCAGGGATTGGTTCTAGGACATCCTACATCCATGCAGATACCAAAATCCATGGAAGCTCAAGTCCCTAACATATAATGGCATGAAACAATGCATAGAGTCAACCCTCCACATCCATTGATTCCTGAGAATTGAAAATACTGTTAATATTGCTTTCGATCTGTAGTTGATTGAATTTGCAAAGGTCGACACCCAGGGAAAAAGAGGGCCAACAGTAAATTTATTGAAAAAAGTCCAAGTGTAAGTGGATCGATGCAGTTCAAATCTGTATTGTTCAAGCGTCAACTGTATCACTCTGATAACGAAGGCCAGGCAAAGACATCTTAAGAAAACCTCAGATCAATATCCGTCATGAACACAAAAATTCTTAACCAAGTATTAGTAAATTTAATTCAGGAACATATAAAAGCTATTATACACCATGACTAAGTGGGGTTCATTATAGGAACACAAGACTGGCTTGACATCTGAAAATGAAGTCATGTAATATAACATTTATACATACCTTTGAAGGTTTTTAATAAAATCAAGGTTTTTTTGTACATTTTATTTATTTTTTAATAATTTTTAAAAGACTGTTTATTTATTTAGAGAGAGGAAGGGAGGAAGAGAGGGAAATACCAATCAGTTGTCTCTCATACAGAGCCAAACCTGCAATCCACGTATGCCCCCCTGACCAGAATCTAAAAGGTATCCTTTTGTTTTGTGGGACAACATCCAACCAACTGAGCCATACCAGTCAGTGCATTTGTATATTTTAAAAACATCAAGCTGCACCCTGGCTGGCTGCATGGCTGAGATGGTGGGAGCATGATCCTGTACACCAAAATATTGCAGTTCGATTCCCAGTCAGGGCACATACCCCTAGTTTGTGGTTTCATCCCTGGTTGGGGCACTTACTGAAGGCAACGGATTAATGTTTCTCTCACATCAACGTTTCTCTCTCTCTTTCTCTCTCTCTCTCAAATCAATAGATATATTTCTTCAGGTGAAAATTTAAAAAACATCAAATTGCTACTAAACTTAGATAGCTTTATATCTATTTTTAGAAAGTCAATATTTACAATGTCAGAAATTACACCCTTAACCTTTTAAAATTAAATGCTTAAACTAAAATTTGTGATGAAAAATTTCAGATGCCAACTTAAAAATAAGAGATACACAGATTTCCCAAACTTTTGGACACTCTCAATCAAGAATGTTTTAAGCCCACAATGACTCCAAATATGACTGAAGTGACACGGGGAAAAAGAATCACTCATGCCAAAGCAACTTCACCATATCCTCAGACAGGCAATAAAAAAAATTTCTTTTTAAAACTTGACAAATTCCAACTCCTTTTAATGTCTAATCTCAAAATTAATTTATTCTTGTAGGTTACCCATGCCTAAACCTAATATTCCAGGTGTAAGCCAACCAGTGCTGGGGTCAAGTGATACAATTTTTCTTAATCTTACATTTCTTAATGCAATCTACTACTGCAGTTCACATCAGTTCTCCTCACAGGCTAACCACATACACCACAGATTCAGATGACTGAGATTCCACATTTTTTAATTACATGACCCCCTCCTAAGTCATATCTCTATCTTCATTAACGGGTATAACTGGTTTTTTTGGACCCAAGTGAAGTTCCTCTCATTTATATGACCCTTCCATTTCATTAAGTTGCACTGAGCAAATTTTGAGATTAACCAGGTGATACTTTCTCTCTTCACTTCATCAAGGTCACAAATTTGCTAAGCACACCTTTCAGGTAAGACTTCAAAGACATACTGTGTATAAAGAAGGTGACAGAGCCTCAATATGGAATCCCAGCAGTACTGTGTCCATAAATCAAACCCCTCCAGACACACACATTCAAAGTCATGATTCCCTCTACTTTTACCACAATCTGGCAAATACCCCTATCATACCCACAGGGCGATCATAAAAGACTTTAACAAATTACCTTGCTAAGTGGACACCATCACTGTGGATACTATATCCACTCACACTTAGCTACCAATTTGGATGTCTTGTCCTGTTGATCTGTTGAGTTTTATAAGAACTCTAGTAACCCTGCTACTCTGAGAAAAATAGAAAAATGACACATTTTTCACTTTGAATTAATTACAGAATCTCAGGAATCACATAAGAATCTTAAACATTTTTTAGTCCATTGGTTTTCAAACTATAGGTCTTTAGCAGCCAGAGTCAATTTAGTCAGTTGCCAATATACTTTTTTCTTTTAATGAAATGTCAAAGGGCATCATACGTTGAAAGAGTACACTTGTGTCATGTGTGCACACATATGTGTACTTTATGAATTTAGGGGTACAGTGAGTCATGCTGTAGTCACAGGTCAAAAAAGTTTGAGAGACACTTTGCTAGTCTCACAGCTCTAACCCCACAAAGAAGCTCCATCAAAAAATTCTTAATAATCAGTAAGTTGTTATGTGTAACCATCTTCACTTCATACACATAAACCAACAAACAGGAATTTTGTGCTCAGTACAAAATCTGCTATTCACTAAAAAAAAAAAAAAAAAAAAAAGACTGGAGCTCAGTTGGTTGAAGCATCATCCCCACAAGCCCAAGGATTGGGTTCAATTCCTGGTCGGGGAACACACAGGAATCAAACAATGAATGTATGGTTATGTGGAACAACAAACGATATTTCTCTCTTCGTTTCTTTCTCCTACCCCCTTTCCTCTTTCTAAAAAAGTCAGTAAAAACATTAAAGAAAAAAATAGAATCCATTAGGGGTTTTCAAATGAAATAGGAACCTGCTCAGACGACAGTCACTTATGTTTTGGTGGAAGTAAGACCAATATCGACACGCAGCAGAATGAAATAACTTTAGTAGTCTATAACTAGGAAAGAGAACAAAACCATTTTGGACTTTGGTCTCCAGTTCCTCATCTGTTACCATGGAAAAACATAGTTAGGATTCCAGCAAGCTCTGGAATTGCAAGTTATTGAAAACGAACTGGCCAAGCAGGTGAGAACTATGCCTACCACACAGCAAGACACTTTAACCACTTCACCAAGTCAGTTATTGATAAATTAAATCAATATTACACAAAAAAGTACTGATAAGAAGCTCAGCCTTAACCAACAGCAGGAAGATCAAGGGGAAGTTTCCAGGATTCTGCAGAAGCTGGGCCCTGGTAGGTATCACTACTTTCTGAGCCACTCTTCCCTTCTAGACCCCAGTTTATCTCTGTCCTCAAGCTTTCAGTCATGGATGTGGCACTCGCGCACTACTGTGGCAAAGGAAACAGGTATAAAGCAATGAGTGGGCGAGCTGCAGCAACCACGAGCAAGTCTACACTGAGAGCCTAGGCCGCTTAAAACAAGTCTCACGCCATTCCCAGACTGTTTAGAATCCCGCGGTCCTTGTCCTCACACCTCAAACCACGGCCCCGAGACAATCTCTAGGACGTGGCCCTCAGCGCGCCCGATGCAGTCCCTCGCATGCGCCGCCTCTGTAAGGGTCTACCAGGCCTGGAATCTTGAAGCCTAAAAGCAAATCCGCCCGGCAACCCCGGAAGTCCCCTCCCACAAACACCCGCAAACCAGCCACCGCCTCTTCCTCCCACCTCCAAGCCGTCAGGCCTGCGCCTCTTCAGCACACCACGCCAGTCTGCCCAGTCACGAAAAGGAACCCAGAAATTGAACGGCCTCTTGCTCCACACCCACCCACACTGCCCTGGCCGCCGGAAGTGCCTCTCGTCTCCAAGCCACCGTCGTGAGGTCACTTCCTGCGCGACGCCTTGGAAACCGCAGACCGGACAATTGAGGGGCGGGGCGCCCGGGAAATTTGAGAGCTTGGAGCCCGCTGCGGGGGCGGGGCCTGAGGCCTTCCAGGTCCGCACCTGGGCGGCCTTGTTGCGTGCCCCGCCTCTGTGAACTCACGTCGGCTGCAGTCCCGGCTGGAGTTGCGTCTAACTCTCCTTCCGGCTTAGATGTCTGAGGGACTGTGCCTTGTCTTGTCGTCTTGATGGCGGGCTCTGGCTTTCCCTCCAGTCTTCCTTGCGAGGGGTGGTGACGTGGACCCATCTTTAGTCAGTCGCAGCCGTGGGACGCAATATGTAAGCCTCTGAGACGAATTAAAGAAAACAAGAAGTTCCCTTCGTGGTTGATCTTCAGAGTTTATCACTTTCGGCTTATTTGGGGGTTAGTGTCAGCCAGTGTTTGCTTGACTGCCCCTCACCCCGACATCGACCCCAGTAACCGTTACATCGGTGGCATTTTAGTTTTAGTAGTTTTTATTTTTGAAAAACGCAGGCGTTTAGGGCCAAAGCTGAATGTAATGAGGAATTTTAGAGCTTAAAGTGAACAAGGTCATCCTGATGTCTGACACCTGGTTTGAGAACCACTGTTTGAGCAGGCGGCATAGAACAGGGCAGTGGGTCCAAACCTAGCTCTTCACAATCAGTAGAGGAACTCTGTAAGATTTCCACTTTCCAGGGACTCACTCCTTCCCTCTCTCATCACCAGAGATTCAATTTTAGTAGGTCTGGAGGGTGCCTGGCGTGTATTATGTCAAAGATTCCTTTCAGTCAGTTCTGATCAGACCCCCAATTTGGAATCTACTGGTGTGCTAGATGCAGTGTTGAATTTATTACAAACAAGCTTTGCAATTCGAGATAAACTGGAGATAAGAGCTAACAAAGTTGCCATGAAATTAAATGAGATAATGTGCACCAGAACATGGTTGACGGTTGTTGGGGCTGGGTGATAGTATATAGGGCCTTATTATACTATTGTGTATACTCTACTTTTGTGTATGTTCAAAAGCTACTGTAATAGTGCTTGCTTCAGTAGCACATATACTAAAATTGGAACAATACAGAGAAGATTAGCATGGCCCCTGTGCAAGGATGACACGCAAATTCGTGAAGCATTCCATATTTTTCTAGAATGCTTATTTTATTTCATTGATCTACTTGATTATTTCTGTGCTGGTGTCATGTTTTAATTGCTGAGACTTTATAATGGATTTAAATTTCTTAATATAATGTATCTTGACACTTAAAAAAGTAAGTAAATAGAATCAATCTGCATTTAAAAAAAGAAGAAAAGAAAGAAGGATCTCCTACCTTTTGTGACATCATGGATGGAACTGGAGAATATTATGCTAAGTGAAATAAACCAGTCAGTGAGAGACAAATACCATATGATCTCACCTTTAAGTGGAATCTATTCAGCAAAATAAACTAATGAACAAAATAACCCATAGGCACAGAAACATGGAGCAGACTGAAAGCGACCAGAGGGGATGAGGAAGGAGGACAATGGTGGAAAGAAGGAGAAGGAACTAAACAAAGAACATGTATAAATGACCCATAGACATGGACAACAGAGTGAGGATTGACTGTGGGTGAGGGGGGCAGGGTGGGATGGGTGGAGGAAGGCAAAAGGGGAAAAATTGAGACAACTGTAATAGAATAAACATGATTTTAAAATTAAAAATTAAAAATAAAATTTTTAAAAAGCCACTAATAAAGATTTTTTTTAGTAACACATATTTTTTAATTTTGTTTACTTTTTAGAGAGAGGGGAAGGGAGGGAAAAAGAGAAACATCTATCGGTTGTCTCACACCCCCAAACTGGGGACCTGGCCCACAACCCAGGCCTGTGCCCTGACCAGAAATCAAACCTGTGGCCTTGCAGTTTCCAGATTGACAATCCACTGAGCTACACCAGCCAGGGCGAGTAACAAATATTTAAATACAAGTAATTGGCCAATGCCAGTGTCCAGCTTTGCCAAGGCCAATGCAGCCTCGCTTGGTATGTTAATATAGCCCAAATGATATTAGGTATGAAATTGTTGAAATAGGAACAGTGGGAGCTAAGTGGCAGAGCAGGGAGAAATTTAACATTACACTGAAAGTGTAGTTGTGTTTCTTTATGGCACGTGTGTAAGGCACTCTGGAATAAAATTTAACAATGACTATTAGTAAACCGAGAGCAAATTGCACATAAAAATAAGTAAGCATAACTAGTAAGGAAAGTCAAATAAAGAGATTCATAGATTTCAAAGAGTACTTAGGGGAAAAAAACAAAACAGCTAACTGGCTAAGACCTAACCTCAAAAAAACCAGAAGTAGCCATCCTGGTTTGATAAAATTAGTTCACTTTGAGAGCTTTAAGCAGTTAATCAATCAGCAGTAGAATGGTATGCAGCTACTAAAATTTGATGAATAGCTACTGACCTGGAAAAAAAATAAAAAATAGAAGGTCACAGAATAATATGTGTATTACAGTCTCATTTTTGTGAAAACAAGCTACATATGTGATGTTCCCAAAACAAACCATCTACATGTGTAAATGCACAGAGAAAAGCCTGAAAGGATAGATAGATACCCTCTAAACTGTATTATAGCTACCTGAAGAAAAGGCATGGCATGGAGTATTGGAGCAGGTGAAGATTTTCACTTTTTACTCTGTCATAAGTCATATAACATTTCGGTCAACAACAGACCACATATACAGTGGTATGCCATATAATGCAGGTGTGTAGTATAGGATTTACAATCTAGGTGTGTACTCTCTGATGTTCACACAATGATGAAATTGCCTACCAGTGCACTTCTCAGAAGACATCTTTGTTGTTGAGTGGCACGTGACTGTATATACTTCTGAATTGTTACAAAGGTTATGTATAAATTTTAAAAACACTTCTTAAAATTGTTTCAAAGTTCTGAAATGGAGCTACTTAGGAGCATTCCATCCACCTACTGCTCTAGAAAAGGTTACTCCCACTTCGCCCAAAACAGAGTAGACCATTCAGAATGGGGCATTGGTTTTTTATGCAGAAAAGTGTGTTAAGGCTATTGAAAAATTATAATTTCATGTGCACTGGCAATCAGCGGGGAAATCCATTTTAACAACCTGGATCCCAATCAGAGTTACTTCCCACTTACATCCACAAGAAAAGGAAGTTTGCAGCAGTCCTCCCTTCACCTCAGCATAGTGAAGAATACAAAAAAACGAGAATTCAGGACATAGAGACATAGATCAGGACACTAAGAATTCAGATACCATTAGCAAGCCCAAGTGCCCCACAAAGTGAGAAACTTCCTAGTTTAATAAGTGGAGCAGAAGACCAGCATCTTACAGGGGGTATTAAAGGAAAACAAAGCCTTCTAATAGCAATACGATTGCTATTAGGTGTGAAGGTTGAGGAAGGGCATAGGTCATGATAATGCCCTGCCATTATGACATGACAATCTCAGGACATAGCATCTTGGCATCCAGAAAAGGTTCCACAGAGCTTGGGAGAGGAGAAAACCAGGCTCACCACAATAGAGGCACTTTTCATGGTCGCACATATTTAAGGTATTTTCAGTAAAAACTAGAAACTGATTTCAGAACTCCTCTACCTTATATTAATTGTATATAAATTGCTTATTAATTACATAAAACTATTTTTTTAAAAACAAATGGAATGTTCATTTCATAGTTTTTTGATTCATTCAGTAAGCGTTTATAGAGGGCCTGCCTTCTAGGTATCCTGTTCTGTGCTTGGAGCTGGGACAGGGGTAAGACAGAGCTCCTTCCTTCAAGGTTCTCACATTCCAGAGGGAAAGACAGGGAATTACAACTACCATGATACAAAAACAGACGGTACTATGTGAGCATATAAGACACCCCTAACAAGGAAAGGAGGGAAGGGGGCACAAACGGGAGCACAGGGTTTTCTGGATATGACCTTTGGCTGAGATACAAAGGATGAAAGTGGATTAGATAGGTGAAATTAATTAGGTGAAAAAGGTCATTCTAGAAAAGAGAGAAGTACATAGATAACCAGGGAAATATGGGTAAGTGTGGCTCATCCATGGAAATACAAGCAGTTCAACTGGATAGAGCATATATGTACAATGATGAAGTGAAGATGGGTTGATCTAAAATGATAGGCAGGAGCCAGATCCCAAAGGGTGTTCTATGCCCTAAGGAGCTTGGATTTATCCTAAGAACAATGAGAAACAAATAAAGAGTTTTAAGCAAGAAACTGCTTATGGTGGGAGTAAGATTAGATGACAATGACAATCCAAACTAGGGCATTACAAGTAGGGTACTGAGGTGAAGACTGACAATATAAAGATGTTTAGGAAATAGGATCAACTCCTATGTTTACAGCTAAAGCAAAAGATTGTTTGGTGGTGCTATTTGCTCAGATGTGGAACAAAGAAAACGAGGATTTTGGATAGGCAGTAATGGAGGAGAAAAAAGAGGTAGATGATAAATTCAGGTCTGCATATGTGAGTTTAAGGTACCAATGGGAGCAGTTAAAATCCTTAGATTTCGAAAATTGGGGGTGTTACCCTAGGCCGCATACTTTAGATGGTCCTCATTCTGGTTCTCCCCAAGCCAAGCCTTTCCCTGTGGGCTAAGGGGACATGACTACCCAGAGCTCACACCCCCACTTTCAGACCTGCTCCATTTCTCATTCCTAGGATTCCCAAATTCCCTCTGCAATGGCATGGATCCACTTTCAGCCCATAGATGAGCCCCTTCCCCAGGTCTTTCCTCCTGAGGGTGAACCTCACTGCCATTGTACCACACTCCTAGGCTCAGGGAGTGGCAAAAAACAAAAAAAAAAAAAAAAAAAAAAAAAAAGTGGCTATTTGGGAGGAATACAGGTGGAGCTTGGAAGTTCAGACCAAGATATTTACACATGTGGACCTAAGAAGACC